TCACTAGGATGTTATTGCTCAAGCCAAGGCACCTTTATCGATAACCATAAGATGTGGGCTTTTTTTCCTTCTGTCAAGGATAAATTCTAGAAATTAGTCTAGGATAAACACAGAAGAGTCATGGTAATTTAAACAACAACTCTGTTTTCCTCCTTTTAAATATCATATGGACTGCTGACTAAGCCTCTTTGACAAAAAAAACAAACAAACTAAAAAACTGTGTGAAGAAGCCTCTTCTGCAATACCAAACGGAGCAAGGAAAAACAGCAATACCGTGTCTTATTCTAATTTCACGAGCAAAAAAAGGGATATTCACAAGCAGTCATTCCTATCAGTAAACTTCTCATGACACATAACTGGTAGGCCAGGCAGAAACTTAAAATCACCAGGAGAAATGCGACAATAACAAAGCAGTTAAGAGAAAGGAGATGAACAGCTTCATGCACTGATAAGACAAGTCACAGAAGTGACCTTGTACTTTGGCCAAAACGCTTAAATTGCAGGTATACTTCCTACTGAAGAGAAAGAGCGGAAAGAAGCAAAAAGTAGAGAGCAACAACACTGCAAGAAGCTTTTACATGTCGATATTTGAACAAACTAACCTTTATGCTGAAAGTAACCACGCTGCCATTTGCAAGGCCAGCATAAAGGATCCGCCATCTACTGTGTAAACAGAGCACTCGATCTTCCAGTTTAAACTGTTCCATGCACTCCTTGGTCTGGCAAAAGGAAGAAATATTTTGAACATTTCATTAACTGAAAACAATCCAGCGCTGGAGAAAATGGCCATGACCACCACAAGCTCTAGAACAAAAGCAGCTCCATCCTGGCTTTAATCAGCTCACTCTGACAGTACTTCAGCAACCAACTACACCCAAAAAAGCCTTCTTTAGTACCACTCTGACACAGGTATTTTCAGACCTTCAGGCTGCCTTTTTTGTCATTTATCCTTACAAAGCTCAGCTTCAGAAAGTCTCAGACTGCTCCATTTTCATCTGCCCTCAGATTATTAGATATTTATTCTCAAAAAGCTGACCTGCAGAGAGGACTGTGCCCTCTTTAAACAGTGAAGGAAGCTACAAATACAGTCAGTCAACACCTATATTGATGGACAGGCAACTGTCCAGCATTTCAGAGCTCCCAGCATTCAGCTAATCCCTGTCATGCCACACTGAAAAAAATACTGTGACTTTCAACTAGCCAAAAGGTTAGTGTAGTAAATCACTCAATGGTTGGTTTGGGTGTTTTTCCTAATCCAGCCTCATTAGGTATGTAGTGGGGCTCATATATGTTTCAGAAAGCTTTAAAAGGCATATTTTATATTTGCAAAGTCCACACAAAGAACCACACGGAATGGCTAGTGCTGGAATGGACCTCTAGAGACCAGCTAGCCCAACACCCCACTTCAAGCAGGTCACCCAGAGCACGTTACCCTCATGTCTGTCCCTGGTAACACTCACATTGAAGAAAAGCAATAGGTGTTAATCAATGGAGTTCAAATACCTTGATATTGTAACAGTTGATAGTGTGGTCACTTGAGCCAGTGTAGAGCACGGCATTCTTCCCATTTGTCTGAGTGACTAGCAGGCAGTTCACTTTGGAAGTGTGTCCTTCAAAGATGGCTACACACTTCCTGCTCTACGAAGCAAAGCAAAGGGTCTGTTAACATAGTTGTCCGCAATGTATTTCAGCGTCCATGCAGGATGGAGTCAGGTGGGACATCCAACAAAAACAGCAGGACAAACACCACGCACTCCTCTTACCCCTCTCACAGAAGGGAAGGCTGGGAAGAGGGGAGGGGGAAAGAGAGAGGTTTGAAGAAAACATAAGATAACAACATCTTAAACCCCTGAAAAAGCAGCTACTTGCCTAACTAATACACTGTTGCCTCAGTTTTACTTACAACCAGATTGTAGGCACAAACAGTTTTGTCTGCTGAGCAGGTGTATAACAAATTCCCAAAAATCTGAATAGCATTCACTGCAGCCAGGTGTCCTTCAAAGCTCCCCTCTGTAGGTTCTTCATCCTCACCTGGCTCTGAAGACACTTCTGCAGAACAGAAAGACATGTGTACTTTGATTATGTGAAAATACTCATGCAAATGTGATACTTTCTTTTTTTTTAATATTATTAAACAGCAGAACTATTTTGTGGGCTAAATATCTTCAAAATCAGATCTCACAGTAATTCACAGCTGGAGCCTGTAAGTGGCAGACACAAAATGCTGGGAAGACCTTTGGACAATATTAAACCCAGAAAGATCTTTAACATAACAAGAACTGTATTGTTTGCTGGTTTATTCCACACCTTAACAGGAGTCTGTGGAACAGAAAGAGGGAGAGGGGATGGGTGTTGCTGAGGAGGCAAAACATCCTCACTATGATAAGTGAGGAGCATGTATGATTTTCCACTTAATTTTTAGTGCAGATTTTTATCTTTAGGACAAAATTACTCTAGAAGCAGCTTGATTTATACTTAATTCAAATTCTTGCAGGATACAATATACACTTGAAGCAGAGAAAAAAAAAAGAAAAAATATATATATACAGCTTAAAAGACATACCGGAAGAGTTCTTTGAGCCTCTTAGTGATGATATGGAAGTCTGTGTCTCAGCCACACTGTAACACAAAAATAAAAAGTAATGAGATTGGACATTGCATGCACACTCAGTGATGTAAGTAACACATCCGAATATAACTGTGCATTAAGTAGAATATGGTCTGTGACAAATAAAGTCAAAAATTAAGTTTCCATGGAAGAGGCCCTTCTCCTAATTATTACAGAAATTAGTAGGTAATAATATACATTTGCTTGCTAGTTCAAAGAAACAAAATCAATTTATGACAGGTATAGGGACACTTCCCTTCGCCACCAACCCCCAGCCCTTACACTTCACTGCTAAAATTTCTGAATGGAATAACTGATTACAGATGTTGTACGGCTTTCTGTGTAGCTGGGAGAGGGAACTGTCTTTCAAAAGTAAAAGCATTAAACACCATTTGTAAAATCTACCATAATCTCACCTTTTTTTCACATCATCCCTATAATTTGTGCCAATCTCACTGGTGGAGCTCACTTCATCATAACCAGAGCAAGATGCCTCCAGGACTGCCTGGCCAGCGGAGCTGCATGAACCCCTCTTAGATGGGCTGTCTGGTTTCTCCTCTCCTGACCCGGATGAACCAATGTCAACCACCTCACACTGAGGGGTTGCAAGTTCCACTAGTTCCAGGGAAGTGTCACTGTCATTCTCATCCTTGCCTCTTGCTGTCTGTGCAGGACCTCCATCCTCCTGTCTTGGAGGAGTGGATGTAGTTACCTTTTCCCCTTTAGGGACCTTTCCACTCTTGGCTTTCCTGATGGGCTTAGAGTCAATTACATCCTGTTCCGTATCACTGTTCTCTGGCACATGGACTGCCCTCAGAGTTTTCTTCTTCCTTAACTTTCTCCTCCTTCTGTTCCCCTTTTCTGCTGGTGTTAGAGTGGTTGCTGTCTGTTGTTCACAGAGTTCTGCCGTCAGCTTGAGGTTTTTACCTACTGGCATCTCTAGAAGGGCTGAATGATTTGGAAGAGAAGTGCTACACTGATCTGGGAAAAAGCTCTCAGGCACCATTTCATTTCCTTCTCTCTTGCTGAAACCAGACGGAGAAGGAGAAGAGTTCCCAGAGAGTCCAGCCTTTCCTCTCCCAGCAGCAGGCTTGCGAACACCGTGACTACTCTCTTGCAAACAAGCTGTCAGCTCTGACAGGGATACAGTTGCAGAGATGACTGGATACATTGGAGTTTTCTGGCTGATTTCTTCTGAAGAAAAGAGACTAGTGTTATGATCATTCTGCACATCAGTTAATATTTATGCAAAAAAGTGTTCCTTGCATTTTTTTCTTTATACTCAAATATAGATGCAAAGGATATATTCCTGTATGTTGGATGCTTACATGCACATACAGATCTTCTGCTATTTCAGTCTGCTATTCAGCCTATTAGAAAAGAGAGCAGGGGCAGAAAAGGTTTATCTGTGTACCAAGCAGCAAGAAACGGGGCACATGCCTCAAGCTGCTGGCTGACCATATGCTTTTAAAGCTCTGACAGAAAACCTCTGATAAATCCAATACTGTTGGCTTAAGAAGCCGCTACCATTTATTTGCTGTGTGCCATCATTGCAGTAGAGGACTGGTAGGAACCAAATATAGGACCAATGCTCTAGCTGCTCACTGACATAATTTGAAGACCTTGTGCTTAACCCATCTGCATTAGCTCTTTCTACCTAGTTGCCCAGATCTAAGGGTGGATGAGGTGCACAAATCCCATTCCACCTGTACCTCTTCCCTGGGAGTGGTATTACCCCAAGCCATCAGAGCAAGCTTACAGTTAGCCTCTGGTGGCTTCCTGTTTCATTTTAATTTGGAGCTAACGTGAACAAAGGGATCCGAGTTCACAACTGGGACAGGCAGTGACCACAGCTGCGTTTCCCCTACTCTAGAAGTCGCATTTGCAGCAATTGTAGCCCCCATGAGAACAGATCGAGCTTGTTGCACGTATCAGGGGAGATTCCTTAACCCCCATTGGCAAACTAGCAGTATTCGAAACATTTCCTTAAAGCTAGCTTCTCTTAAAACCAAGAGAAACCAAACATACCATCCTTCTGCTCCACCATTTCTGCTTGTGAAGCACATGAAGAAGTCTGGAGCACAGAATTCACATTTTCTTCTGAAACTTTTGGAGACACTGGCTCTCGTTTAACTTGTATGGAGGAGTCAGGAGGAATGGTGGGTGTGATGCTAGCAGAAGACTGGAATGGCAATGGTGAGTTTACATGGACAGATGATCCCAACGGAGGTACAGAAGGAGACAAAGTGTCCAAAAGGGGCAGGAAGGAGCCTGCAGGAGCTAAGTCAGTTGCCATCTGAGATTTGCTATTTCTTCGTTCAGCAGAGATGCTGCAGGGAAGTTGCTCAGGCTGTTCAGAAGGGTCAAGTGTTTCTAATGGCAAAAGAGGAGAGGAAAATAAATATACGCTCCTATTTTACAAAACTTTGAAGTAAGATTTAGCGGTGCCAAGAAGTCACTCTAGGTGCACAGACAGACAAGGAAGAGAAAAATTTGAAAAGAACAAAACCAAACCCACCACACAACAGATGGCACTAGGAAAGCAGCTGGATCACCCCCCGAGCAAGACTGACTAGCATATGGCAATCCTGCAGTTTTATTCCACGTTTTAAAAGAGCAAATTCAAGTTAAAAGCATTTTTTACAAGAGACTGAGTGCACCGAACACGAGGCGGTATTCACCTGATGTAGCTGCATGGCATCTCATACCTTGTAGCCCCTGCAAGACCTGGATTCTCTGACTTCTTAGTGCACTCATTTCCATGGTGATCTGCAACACAATCGTGGTTTAAATCAGTCCTAACTGATTCCAGATGGTGCTAACTTCTACCTCAGACAATCTCTAAAGCCCAGTTACCTGCTGCTTTAATACCAGGAACCGCTGCACTTCGACATAGGCTGCCTGCAGCGTAGCCCTAGCCTGCAAGAGGCTGCTGTCCACGCTGTGCAGGGACTTGCTCAGCTCCTCCTCCCTCAGCGAGATGGCCAACAACTGGTCCACCTGCGAGCGCTCTGGAAAAGAGATGGGATGTGACTGTCCTGCACCGCGCGTGGCGGCAGCGTGACTCGCACGTCAGAGCAAGCATCCTACGGGAGCGGGAAACCAAATAGCTGAAACGACCTTCTGGGCCCCACACCAAACACAGATGAGTAATTTTGATCTGTGGTAATGTGGAAGTGTTATGCTGTTTAATCCCCAAATAATCGTTTTCTTTATGAAAATGTAGGAATGAGTCTCTCCATATTCATTTTCCAAAAACTATTGCTGTAGAAATCAGAATCGGAGCACAGCCTAAATCGTGCTGAGACTCCAGTATAGGTTTCCAGGTAGGACTATCCAGAAGCCAAAAGGGAGCTGTGTGGCTGAATTAGACTCGAGTGACGAACTTCTCTCTTTTTAGATTCTGCTGGGGAGACAATAAATTACTACTTTATTTTTTTTTTTTTTTTAGTTCTTCTCTGAATGGGAGAAACCACAGGTCACATCTGTGTGATTGGGAACAAAGAAAAAGACAGAAAAAAGAAAAAAGCCTTAAAATAGATTAAGATGGGACTCTTCAGAAGAGGGCATGCTATGATGATAGAAGAGGAAGGCACCAAATATAACTTTATTAAGTTGGGGCGCATCTTGAATGCCACTAAGTATGAGAGCTCTGAACAAGTCACAGACAGTGATAAGGAACCTGAAAGGACTGCTAAGTGATGGTTCAAATCTGGAGGATTGCTGCAATTTCTACCAAATTCCTCTGCATTGTAGAGGGAAAAAAAACAAAAGAAGTATAATTAAAGCAGTGCTTAGAGGGTGAGATACCAGTGGGTACTTTCACGTTTCAGAATTCCACTGGCTCTCAGGAAGTCAGGATTCTCCAGGAAGAGTAGAATAAGAAGGGATCCCAACATAGCAGATTGCTCTGGCCCAATCTTGCAGGTGTTATAGACCTGAAAGGGGTTCACGATATGACCTCTGGTAAGAGCCAGGGAACAGCCAAGTAACACCAAGGAACTGCTGGTTTAGCCAAATCAGAATTGCTAGGTATTTATAACATCTACACCAGGCGCACAAGTGCATATCCATACATGCTGTTTACTCACCTTTTTTACCTTTAATTTTTCTTCTTTTATTCTTTCTTTCTAGACTGGGGATTTCAGGAGAGGATCCCTCCTACAAGTAAAATCCTTTATTAACAAAAGTTACAAGCCCGTTTTTGCCTAAATCAAGAAGTGAAATGTCTGTCTTTTCAAAAAGCATTACTTGAACCCACAGAGAAGAATACATAATTGTCTCCTGTACCTGTTCCTTCCCTTTCTCCTTTAAAAAAAGGCAACAAAATGAGGTCTATGTTTTCAGCTCAGAAAAATAAACACTAAGACAAAATACTAAATAAGCAGTCAGCCTTCTATATGCTCAGGTGTGCAAGACTCAAGCACTCTTGGTTCAAAATTTCTGCTTCATATTTGTTAGCTGCTGTTCTACAGGATGAAATCAGCGAGAAACAAAATTATTGATTTCTAGATTTAACTGAATTATTTAGCTAATTTTGATCAGAGAATATATTTTTTATTTTGGTAAGTCCAAGACAGGACAGATCAAAATTGCTATTATCTTTACTCTTTTTCTACCTTAAATATATCATTTTGTAATAAGGGTTATATTTCCATGCTTGACCGTAAAACCTAAGAGGAAAAAAAATCACTAAAGCCTAACTTTCATTTAAGCTTTGAAATCCCAGGATTCTCACTCTAACATGGAAATACTTTTGTGGCAGTAATCTGCAGTTCTTGTTTACCAACATGGTATGTCAGTCACCAAAAAAGAATTATCAAGCATTTGCAATTTCTGATTAACAAAGATTAAAGAGAAGTCATGCACTACAAAGGCACAAATGAAAGTAAAAATATTCTTAAGCAAAATTAAGTCAAACAAGCCACTTAGTTTGAAGATAGACATATGTACAGGATAATCAGAGAGAGTCCTGCTTGTAGAGATCACTCCAAAATTGAATGATCACCAACAGCAGAAACATATTACATATTTAGCATTCAAAAACTGCACAAAATTGCACACTTACTCCTGTTGCTCTTCGTTTCTTTCCAATTCCTTGGCTGTCATTCTGCTCTGTACCAGATGTGCAGCTACTGTCTGTAGCTGCATCTATGTTGTTAGATGCTGCAAGAACCAAGGCACCACTTGAAGCCACAGTATTTTCTTCTCCTGAGTTTTCCAGTACATTTTGTTTTTCAGTGAGAGGTATCGTCTTCTCTGGGCTCTCCTGATCTTGTTTTGTGAGGCCTGTGTCCTCAGGGGATGCCTGCAGGCACTGTCCACCAGTCTCAGGTCTTTCAGGCGTAAATGGTGGCAAAGGAAGAGAAGATGTCTCACGTTTGAAGTCAGTCTCGGCGTCAACACTTGCTTCACAGCCAGAGGTCAAGTGAGGTGAGTTGCTGGGGGCAATTATTTGCCTTTGCTCACTTTCTTTTGTTTTGGCTTGGTCACTGAAGAAGCTATAAGCAGAGGGATTTCGGTCCACAATCACGCTGCTTTCAGAAAAACTGCGTTTTCTCGCTGACCCAGGCACTGCTAAGGAAACCCCTTCCCACTGGAAGCCTTCCAGAGCAGACAGATCAGACTCTTCACCAAGTTCCAGGCCCTCCTGCTCATTTTGAACAAGAGGCACCATTTCTATGCCAAACCTTTCGCAAGACAGAAAGGAAAAATACACATATAACAAGTCAGATAAATCTAGGAAGAAAAAAAAGCTTCTCCATCTACTGAAATGAATATTACTGCATCAAGGAATTTGGCAATTACATCGGCATTCTGCTGCTTTCAGTCTAGTTAAGGATGGAACTTTTTTTGCATTCTTCTACTTGCTAGCTCGTGAAATGCAAATATGTTTTTAATATCGATATTTAGATGTTAAGCAATCATTATGAAGTGATAAAAATTCGCTGCTGCTCAGAGAAGAAGCTAATTACCTCTTTAGCAGCTGGCTACAGTTACTTACCTGCAGACAGACATCTGCAGCAGTAAGAAATCTAACAGACTAGAATTATCTTTATGTGCAAAAAACACTGGGATAGCAAAACTTCTCTTAAGTCTTAGCTGTTGGATTCTGAAATCTGTCCAACGTTTGGGGCAAGCCCCTTTCTCCCCCATCCCCAGAGGCATATTTAGACTTGAAAGCTACCAACCTTGGTAAGCCTTTGCCAAGTTCCTGTTTCTTCTTGGTTACCTGCTGGATGACTTGATCCCAGTTCACATTTCTCCGAGAAGCACTAAGAATCTGCCTGAGAGTGGGCTTAAGTCCCGACTCCTTCTCAGTCTCACTTCTCCGATGGCCACTAACATTCCGAATCCGACGCGCGTTATTGAGGTTGGGCTCTGGAAGATGTGTCCCAGCTTTACTCTTCAGACTAATGTGTCGTGTCAGGTCTCTTTGCAGAGAGGCAGGGAGACCAAGTTTGCTTAAATCAGGAAGGAGGCCTAAGGACTGGCTTCCTCCCTTCTGCAGCTCCTGATCTGAAGGATTTTCAAAGCCTTCCATTTCAAAGTGGTCATTTGGCTTCACATGCTCTTCATCACCTTCTCCTTCCTGGGTGGTTTTTAAATCTACCTGCAAGTGGTCCTTGATGCTTGATGGATATGTTGTGGATTCCATCTGAAACGCAGAATCTTTTTGATCAGCAGAAGCAATAGCCGAGGCAGCAGGTTTTCCCTCATCTTCCCTTTCAGATGTAGCAGGCTTATTTTCTGGAGCATCACAGGGTAAGCAAGAACTGATGGAAGAACTCAGCTTTTCAACTCTTGCTTCAGATTTTTCACTCTCTGTTAGTTCATCATCACTCACATCCTCTAGTGAATCTAGTCTGAACTTGCTCTCAGGAGACACTTTCCCAGCTTCTTCCATATTCTGATCGCCTGTATCCTTGGAAGAGTCTAAATGCGGATTTTGAGAGGAGTGGTTGGATTGCAGTTCTTCACTTTTTTCACCTAGGTCATTAATAGGTTCTCCAGCATTGCTGCCAGGCACCTCTCTGCTGCATTTCAAGTCCTCTGCACATGTGCTGTGAAGCTTTGATGCATAAGAAGAGAAACTCTTAGTTTCCAAGTTCAGTGCATTCAAATGATTTTGCTGTTCACCACTCGTTGAGGATAACAGAAGCTTGACATTTTTTAAGAGATTTTCTGTGTCCTGCTTTTGGGGAGAAGACTTAATGTCTGTGATATTCAGGAGAGGGGATTTCAGAGATGGCATCTTATTCCTTTTGCCATCATCTTTGTCACGCTTTTCACCACTAGAACAGTCTGTCTTTACCTTGCAAGAATCAAGGTAATCTCGGCTTACATTAGAATGGGAAGATACTTCTCTTTTTTTATGTTTTGGGAGGCCTCCATTGGTTCCACAAGCTTTTACTTTCATTGATGAATCAGTAAGAGGCATAAATGCAGAATCCGTTTTTTCTGGAGTTTTCGAAACGTTATCTTCGGACCACGACTGCTGCTCTGCAGCTTTCTGAGATGGATACGGAGTCCAGCGATATGTTTTATCTCTGGAAGGACTGCCACTTTTTCCGCTGGTTCTTGAAGTTTTGTTTTCTGGTTGTTTAGAAGTACCAAAATCTAGTGCTCCCTCAAAAGGAAGTTTATCACTAGTAAAATCAAGTGACTCACGCTTTTTATTTCGATCTCTGTATGGCACAATATCATTGTTGCCCTTCTCCTGCCACTGCCACGTATATCTTTCCTTACTATAATTAATTGCATCTAATGAATACGCATCTCCTGGGTTTCCAAAATTCCAGCCATGTGCACCATGAGATTTCCAATTTCCTCCATAACTCTTAGAATTCCAGCTAGAAAAATTGCCTGTTCCTTCTGAGTGCCAGGTAGGATTTCTCCCTCTGGTGCTATGATGCCAATTTGATGTTCCTCCTCCTCGCCCACTCGGATGCCAAACATTTCCAGAATTCCCATAGTTATGCCGATTTGAAGGGTTTCCTGAAATATTCTGGTGCCACCCAGAGCGTCCTCTCGGGCCACCTGGATGTCTGTTTACATTAAGGTTCCTCGAAGAATGTGAAAATTTGCCTTGCCTAGGACTAATGTAATCGTCCTTTTCCCATTTCCAGTCCCTCTGTGATGGGTTATGATGATGCCATGATGACTGATCATAAGCTTCTCTCTCTTTGTAGGTGGCTCTTTCTTCTCGCCTTCTCTGTGATCTCCTATCGTCACACTCCAACTCTGGGTTTGCACAGCATGGTTCAGCTTGCCTACAAAACAATTTAGAGAAACTTGAATTTTCACTCTATTCCCCTTGAAATCCAACAGCCCTCCATTTTAGATGAAAATATTTTATATGAAAAGAAAAGGAAGCCAATTATTTAGCTGTTCTACTCCTCAGGCTTCTGCAGTGTTTGATCTTCAAAGCTGGTGTTATACTTTACTTAAATCTGATATTCTAAAATTACTCTTGCAAAGGCAACTGATTTGGTGCAGGGACGCTTCAACAGAATAATTCTTAAATATTTGAGATTTGATTCAGAAAAGAATCTTCCTTTCTATTTACTAGTTGTTGGACTAACAAGTGACAAGGGAAAAAGGAAACTTTTCTGTTGTATAATCATTTTGCAATTTGAGTAGATGTTACAAAACAGAAGAAAAAAATGGACAAGGTTACTAAAAAGTAAACTGAAGACTGTCCTGCTTGTGGTAGACAGCATTACTGGGGTGAAGTGACACAAAACAAAAGGAAATTTAGACTGAAAAGAGCAGTTACTCTAGCTGTTGGAAAAAACAATGATATCATGTCTCTGTTTATAAGGCTGAAATTAAAATGCACGTGTAAAACATTGACAGAAGGTGTGACTCAAAAATATTTTGTCTTGTTTTAACCAACTGACACAGTCCACAGCATGCAGTGACTCGTGGAGACGAGTCTCCCAGAACCACTTTGTGTACTGCCCTTTGGGATAATGCTTGTGCTTGGCAGCCTGTCATGAACACGCAGTAAATCTATCACATGTACATTTAAAGATAAATGCTACCTTAATGCCAGCAGCTATTCCCAGAGTCAGTAGTTTGAATGTTCTAAGTATTTATTCTACCAAAAGAGGAGTTTTCATAAAAAGTTTTTTTTAAAAAACAAAACAAAAAATGATTACAGAACTGCTGCTTTCTGACCTTACAGAAATACATTCACTCTGAGCCCCTGGGCAAGCAAGATAGAAAACTTTCATGATGCTCTTTCTGCTCTTAACTACTATTTATCACCCTTCGTACTGCAAGTTTTCAGCACAATCCAGTTTCGCTAAAAGACGTGCAAACCATTACTGCTATTGCCTAAGTGACACCATTAAATCTAAGAACCGACTCAAGTAGATTATGATCTACTGGAAAATTTTTGCTGTATCAGTAACTTAACTTATTCAATTTTTTTTCAAAACTGCAGCCAACAGAGGGAGATTTTATAAGATTTCAGTTACCTCAGAATACCAATATTGCAGATAGCATTATGCCTTTACTGAACAGAAGCAATACAAGTGACATTGTTACTATTTACGTTAACCAATATCAAAATATTCCTACCATGCAGTACAGGAACATCCTAGTATGACAGAATAACTTCACAAACAAACAGCAAATTGTGCATTTTGAGACACTAACTGGAACTTCCAGTCACAGGAAGGAAGAGCCAAAAATCATATACCCATTTAATACCATTACCATGCCATTGACCCCTTTAAACAATACAGTCCTGATCAGAACATGACATTAGCAATACACACTTGTGGTGTCACGTGCAAAATAAAAGGCTGGACTTGTTACTCTCTGCAGCACTGTACTTCACAGTGAGCCACTAGAGTTACATTTAGCTAACGGTAAGCAAAAAGAAACAAATAGGAAATTTCATTCAAAGATAATTATAGTATTTACAGTCATTTAAAGAACAATCCAATTCATTTTAAAGATATAAGAGCGTTATAACATAAAGTGTATTCCACAATGGTGTCTAACCTAGTTCACATAGCAAAAAAACTGCTCTCGATGCTACCACCACTCTCACATTTATTACATATTTCAGTTTAAAAAAAGGCACTATCAAATATGAAAAGAAAAATATAGGGCTCTGGATCCTATGCTAGGGACTTTAACACCACAATGTGCCTGTTTTTAACTATAAGGCAAAATAATTGACTTCACCTCCCTACATATAGTAGATCAACAGAACAAGAACTTTCAGCAGAATCCCATTTACATGTGAAGATCACAACCTCCACACAGCCCTTGGATTGTTCCCCTGATAAAGACTTTGGCTGCACACAGTTCACATTTCAAAAGCACCTAAGCCTCAGCAGCAACCGCGTTAAAAGCAATTCTACCTGCTACCTCTAAGAGGAGAAAGGAAAACTCACCGGTTCCGTTCCTTCCTTTGCTTGATGAGCTGAATGAGTTCTTTGTCAAGGTATTCTTCTTCTGCCTCTTCTTTCTCTTCCTCTTTTCTATCATGGGCATCAACATTGTCTTTGTGCAGCTGGCTGGAGATGTGCTTGGCGTATGCTGACAAACCCACCAGTGTCACCCTGCACACCTGGCACTCGTGGTTGCTGTCCCTAGGCAAAGAGGCAGAGGGTGGACTGTCAATTCTGCCAACAGGCATGGCAGGTCACTCTGGTCTTGCTTTGTTTCCTCTGAAGGTGCCCGTCTCCTTAGCCAATGGCTTATGTACAAGGCACCTAAGTTTTGCTCGGTATATTTAAGTTACTTCAATTTTCTGGCTTTTTCTTTCAAGGTCTAGTTTTCTGATGGTCAGCTTTTAAAGATTTTTTTCCAACAATCAAGAGGTAAAAGACTTAGTAATAAAGCTGCATGAACTGGGATGAGAAAATCTTCTTGAATTGTTGTACTCAAAATCTTTTCAGAGGAAACATAGTGAGCGAGGAGGCAGGGTGGAAGGCTTGCAGAGCTAGCAGGAGCTGCTCTGAAGCCTATCCATGGTGCCAGCTGCACTGAGGAAGCCTGGCGACAGCTTCTACATTTAATCATTGCCTCAAGCCTTGCCCCGGTGAAATTTAGAAAGGGGAGGAGGCAGGACGGGGACAGAGCCAATCCTGACACAACATGACCTAAACCGGGACAGCTGAGACTGCTGCCTGGAATCCCAAGACTGCACAGCCCAGCGAGCGACAGGAGGGTGTCTTCAGTTCACTGTACTTTATTTGGTCCAAATGCACATGAGGTCTGCTTTCTACTTTAGAAGACTTATCTTAAAAAACACAAAAACAATTTCAGCTGGAACAAGTTGACAGCTGTGGCAGACAAATGGCTTTGCTCATGTTTCAGTGAATACTGGGCTAAAGATGTTACTTTTTTTTTAAACAAACAAACAAAACTTCATAATATTTCATTTGTTCTTCTGACAAATCCTTTAGACACTCCAGAGTTAAGGAAATCACAGCCAGATTAGGCTTTCTTTTAAATAAATAAAGTCATAGATTATGCTTCCCTGCCCCGCTTCATGCATCACTCTAATTCTAGATAGAATACTTGGATAAAGGACTGGAAAGGACTTAGGGGGATGGTGATTGTAACTCTCTGTCCTTCTGTAAAACCACAAGAACCTGAAGAACAAACAACATCAGTTTTGTCACATAAACAGCTCTCTTAATTACAAAGATTAATTTGGTGGGAGGGTGGATGTGGGATGAATGTGGCTACATTGAAGGGAAATTTGATTTCCTTCACCAATTTCCTCTCCCCAGCCCTGTAGCAGCCAGTCCTGAGCACCCTCATGTCTGTGCATCCTCCCACCCCTGAGGCTGGAGCTTCATCACCTCTGAAACACTACACAGTCTTCTCTGTTCAAGAAGGCCAAAAGCAGTTTGAAACACAGGACAAAAGTACTTTCAATATAGAAACCTCCAAGACCATTATTTTCTGAGTGCGTATTTGGGATTGTTTCATTTGTAGTTTTAATTAAGAACAAAGCATCGAACAAACAGCTTAATACCTAACATCTAATTGCCATATTGTCCAATTGACATATGTCATAGGGAATAAGATTTCAAGAGTAGGAAAACAGCCTGAAGAAGTTTCAATAAATTTCTTCTAGTCCTTGAGACTGCCAAATTAATTTATAAAAAAGAAAAGTGAGAGCCAATATATGTTTGCCTCCTTCACCTGTTCCCTGCAGCAAGTCTGAAAAACAACTTGTAGTTGGATGTGAAATCTGCAGGTGAAAAATGCTGGTGTAATACCCTTCAGTGACGTTCTCTTTACACAGTTTAACCACTCTCATAAGACTGCTGCTTGTGCTTCGCTTCTTTTTTCCCTCCCTCCAACAAAAAAACTCCTAAAACACGTCTACTAAACTGAAATGAGAGGAAGGAGAGAGGAGGGAAGACCACTAGACTGTCGGGCATGCTAATTAGTAAAGAGTCTTTTATTCATGTTCATTTTGAGAACTAGGCAATAATACAGACATCTTTCGCGGGCGAGGAATATTGCAAGAAGTAATGAAGACAATTACCTTAACATCAGAATATGAAATACCGACTAAACTTTAATTTCAATAGTAAGGGAACAGAAAACCAACAAGTGTCAGACCAATTGCAAGCCACCAGGGACACAATACGTAACAACTGAAGTTAATTTTACCTGGACGAAAGTCATGAATTAGAAAAGACTGACTTAAAAAGTTAGGAATAAAATACCTAAATATGTGAAACTAAGCCATTATCTTCACCACTTTGAGTTGCTGTACCCACCCTAGTCTCAGAATCTGTGTCAGAAGAGAGTCCAGAATAGAACTGCCCTAGAAGTTAGCTGACCAGCAGCACTACGTGGACTTTAAGTGCTGATGACATTCTGGTTTCTGAGCAACCATTTCCCAGCTGTTCAGTAATAGAACAAATGTCTTTTCACTCTCGACAGTGCAGCGGACAAGTTATTTTGTGTAGTACAACACATTTGACCCAAGGCACATTTTCAGAATGCTCCTAACACCCAATACTTTTTTTCCCCACATTTGCATTTGTTTCAGTCAGCAAGCCTCCTGAATCTTACACATTGAGAGAATCTGGTCATTGCCAGCTTTATCATAAGGCATGCAAATAAGTGTCAAATATAAAAGTAATTACATGGAATTCAACTGTAATGGGAAATAGGACATGAGGTTCCCCAGAACGTGACAAAAAAAAAAAAAGAGTGATAAAAGGTGCACAGAGAGGAAGGATGCAAGACTGTTCTCATACCTTCCCTTCAGGTTTTCAAGTTCTCTGTGGTGAAGCATGCTTCTCATGTGTTCCTCCATCTCCTTCAAGAAGAGGGAGAAAAAAAGCAGAATTGGTCATGACAAAACAAAATGAAAAACTCAGTGTCGAGAACTATTCTGCATTCTGCATTTCTGCAGGAAAGTGTGACCAGCGCCTGCAGAGCTGTAGTGATCATCTTTTTTGTTTCTTTGACCATGGAAGCACAATGAAAGCACTGTCAAGAAGTCATATAATTCACCTTTTCTGAGAAAGAACATAATGCAATCATTAAAATTCAAAGCAGAGTGAGCAGAATCCCAGGAGACAAACGGAAGTGCTTGTAGCAAAGTTTATTATGCTGTTTTTGACAAATGATCGTCAGTTGTAATTTTTGTTAAAAATCTGACCATTCTCAAGCATCACAGTATTGTAAGACCGCATTTATTCCTGTGCAATGTGCGCAGCATCTCTGAATTTACATTATGGCACAGCTGTAATGTCATCATCACATTTTACTCTGTTGGTTGTGGAGTCTCCTTTGGAAATCTTCCAAACCTGCCTGGATGGGCCCTGTGCCACGTGCTCTAGGTGCCCCTGTTTGGGCAGGGGTGTTAGACTAGATGATCTCTAGGGGTCCCTTCCAACCTCAACCATTCTGTGATTCTGGGATACGTTTTGGAAACTAAGATGTACCTAATAGGCATTTGTTGTTCAGACCAACATTGAGCCTACTAGCCATACTACAGTGGTAGTATAATTAATTGTGAATGAAAGAGCTCTAGAAGAGAAGGATTATTCATAACTCAGGGATAGAATGTAGTTCAGCAGATTTCACTTTCTCTTCCTGCTTGAACCAAAGTATTTGGAAGTCTTCAAAGAACAGGTATTAACCACTATCCTCCCCAGGCCTTGAATTTTCATCTGCAAGGGAAAGCAACACTTTCAACTTCCAAGAGTTATGTGGATTAATACATTGGCACTTACAGCATAGCCATGTATCATGTCTCTAAGCAATATATACAAATTTCATTTAAAAAAAACACTTTTATTGCAGGGTTTGAATGACTCAATAAACAAACAGGAGATATATATGTAGAGAGATATAGATATATAATCAAGAACTTAATGAAAATACAAGTTGTTCTGGATCACTTCAAATGCTCCTTCCATATGGAAACAGACAAAAGTTAAACATTAAGAGAATTGATAAGTATAGTACACAGCATTCTTAACACAGCACAATTTACAGCTGAATGGTTTGTGGGCTTCTCATTTTATTATCTTTATGTGACAATATAAAAAACTCACCTCCCTGCCCTCCCACTATTTTCAATATTCAGAATCAAGAATACCATATAGCCTATTTCAAGGAAGATACTCTAAAGCATCTGTAACTACACTATTTGATTTGCAGTAGATCTAGACCAACACATTCCTGGTACAGGAATAAAATCTACTTTCCACATTTTTTCTTTATCTGGAAATATTTCTCATACATATTTTATATATTATAATCTACTGATGCAAAATATAAAACACTTATTATTTACCTTTTTTGAGTTGTATACAATATGACACAATATGCATTTTCGTTCTCGAACCATGCTTAATCTCGGGAAAGATTTTATCCCATACCTGAAATAATAATTAAAAAAAAAAATCAGGATTTTTTCCCCCCATCGCTTATCACATGGGTACCGGATGTTCTGGAATGATTAGTAAAATCTACCCATTTGACAAAGCAACCCCAGAGTTACAAGATTATTCACAATTTTGCACCAGAATGTAATATTAAACACGGAACTACCTAAGAGTTGCATACCTGCAAATTAACACAACTGCAGGTCAAATTAGACCTGCATTAGAATGGATTTTACCATAGTGTATAGCTCTTAAGAAACATGATTAAATTTACAGGGGGACAAATAACAGTCAATTCCATAACACATATCTACATAACTAATAATAAAATGTTACTCTTTTCTTGAGAGATGCTAAAACACTAAATGATTAAGCATTACAGACATTTTGGAGTTGAGACAAGCATCTTTTACTCCTGCTGGGCATTTTTATATCTCCTTGCAGAAGGACAGCTCCTTCCAAGCTCTGCTGTTTTGCAGTAACCAACTTCAAAGCCTGTTTAGCTCATACCATGAAACTTAACCTGCAAGAACCTTCTTCAACAGGTCATTTCCCTGGTCTACCTTGTAAAGTTAGTTATTTACTATAAACCTTCCCAGTCTGGGGTACCCTGGAACCCTCAGAATCTGGTACAGAAATTTTGAGCTAAAATTTGAACAGGAACTGGATTTTTAATCAAATTTAGATTACACAGAGCTAAAACAGCTCTGGCCTTCAGTGGCAACTGCAAACCAAGGGAAAATGCTAGCAAAATCACAGAAATAAGGTTCTTTGATGAATAACTAATTTCCTCCAGATTTGCATGTCCACTTACAGTTTATATATATATATATATATACACACACACACACAGACCAACACTAGTTCAGCATAAACAGAAAGCAGTTGAGAGTGCTAAGTGCCCTTTAAGCTTCAGATAACAGAGAAAGACATTTTCTTTCCACAAGAATTGGAACCAAAAGAATTGAACTAAAACACACCACGAGATTCATAGAAAGGATTCCTGACATCACCTCGCCAGCATCCTTTGGGTGAAATACTTCATTTAAACAGTGTTTAAATATGCATTTCCTAACTTCAGCACATGGACACCCAATGTACTTGATGCATAAGTAATAGCTATTTTGACAAACGTGAAAGATTATTCAGAATCCTTAAATTCAGAATTATTCAGAATTTTGCATCCGCCTACATCATATAGGGCACATATATAAGTCACAGCGTATCAGTTACATGTGTGCCAAAGCACCTGCCTTCATATTAGAACACAGAAATACAAAGTTTTAGAACAAAGTATTTTGCAACTGTTTGAAACCATTTATAAAGAGGTTGACTTGTTTCCCAACATACTTAAGCTGAGGCAGCAGCTGAAGAAGGTTTAGGTCAGTCTGAGCAGAGAATTAAAAAATAACATGTTTTAGCCTCAAAGACAGCTTTCCAGTATGTTCTCAGATATCTGAGAACAGGAACTTCTTATACATGGGTGCAGCTACCGCAGGTCAAAGAATTGTGTATGATTACAGCCAAGTGACAAAGTTTTGGGAGCCTGGTCAGTATAGGAAAGCTATTTTAATGCAATTAACATAAAGTTACCCTTGAAAAGCAAGGGTGCTAATCCTTGCACTACTTTCAGATGGCTTCCTTTTGCTCTAAAAGGTATCACACGCCCCTGCTATTCCTCACCAGCACTACTTTGTAGATGAATGGAATAATATCCTGCTCGTGTTCAGGATCTTGCTTAAAATTACCCAAGTATTTATGGAATTCATCCTACACAAGAGTAAAATCTCAACGTGGGACTTAAATCAGGACAAACAAGTCAGTTAATATGGTGGCTTACTGGCATCACTTATCACACAACATTAAAGAGCTTTCTCAGCCACAACTAACGACACACCTGTTTTGGCTATTTAAAACATATAGTAACTATACACTATTACAGGAAGTGTTTAAGGCTAACTGCCCAATCAACTGGGCATTACATATGGCAGAGTACTAAAAATACTAATGGAATTCAAATGCTATTGGCTGTCACTATGCAAAGTGAAACTTTCTCCACAGAGAGAAGCTCTTGGAGGCAAGTACTCAGATAAAAAGAGATTTAGTAGATGCTCCAGGGGCCAGGAGAAGACGGACCCATGCTCTTTCTCCAGCTCACCTTTTGACTTACTGCCTACACCATGTGAAATCACTTCCCTTTACACTTTTGCTTTCTCCCAGGTCCTGCTGTAAAATCTTCAGGTTCACTTTTAGGAAAAAATACTGTAAATACAAAACATTCCTTCATAGTCTGTGCAACAGTAACAGGAACTAAACAGCTTTTGAGCCATTTACTCAGCAAAGGCATTTTACCAGCAGGGTAAAATGACATTTGTCAGTTTAACCATAGAAGTTTTTTTCTAAGAAACTTCAGAAAAAGAGTTTTATCTGCAAAAACGCAGGCATATCCAGGTTCTTAAAAAGATAGTCCAACAATTTAAAAATCAAAAAAACTTCAAGCTTTTAGCAGGTTTAACAGTTTGTGCTTTTGAAACCTCCCATTTGCTATATGGCTACATAAACGCTATATGGGGAATTACCTCTTACAGGATGCTAAGGGGGAAAAGAACTGGTAAATAATCAAACTGCAAGCAGAGGCGAGCTTCGGCCCAAAAGACACAACCTCCCTGTAGAACAGGGAGCAACAGCAAAATGTAAAGCCTCCAAAATAAACGAGATGTGAAGACAACTTTCTATCTTGACAGAAAGTTACTGATCTATAGGGGATTTTTTATCTGTCTGTTTTTACAGAGTGCAGATGTATTCTACAGATATGTGAGTGAAACACAACTTGCCCACAGCCTGGATCCGCTCAGGGCTTGGAAACACCATACACATTGAATTAATTAGAGCAAGTACATTAAAGAGATTTCAGAGAACACTTCCCACAAACAAAAATAGTCTACAAAGAAAATAAGGCATTAGACTGCTTCCTGCTACAACATTCATTTGTCCACAGCTATTCAACCTTACCGGATAGCATACATTAAAAATGTGGGTCAAGGCTAAATCTGCTCCAGATCAATGGCTGAACACCCTGACTATATAAAGCCACAAGTGCGACAGAGCAGGGCGGACAGCCCAGCATTCCAGCTGCCTGGAAATCCTCAGGAGGCCTCAAAGAGATCATCAGTTCTGGCCTGCCTAAAGGGCTGCCCAAAAGCTGCAGGGCCCCACAGATAGCCTGGATACTTCACACTCGACAAAACGGGAGCCAGAGCCTCACCAAGGCACAAGGTCCTACAGCAACACTCTCCTCAGGCTCTCAAGGCCACGTCAGTCCCTTGGCCTTCGGGACTTCTCTGCTGCAGCAGCTGATCACAAATATTCTACTTGAGCTGCATCCCAAATAAGAGTAATACACCTGTTGCAGAAATGGGGAAGGAGAAGACTGCACAGGGAGAACAAGATCACTACAATGGGCATTTGTGAAATCTTTAGTTGGCTTTAACAAGGTCACTTGGACCTGAAGTATCTTGTTCTGAGGAATTAAGAATGAAAAACTATACAGGCCCTATGAAGCACTTGAACAGTTGCGGTTAGGCTAGACTGCACTTAGTTTGGTTATTATTTAGTTTGATTGTCACTTTGCTTATCTGCTGTGAAGCCTGGTCTTTTCACAGGAGAATCTAGAGGACACGGTATAGGCCTTGGAAAGTTTTATACAACACCCTATTGCACCAAAGGAATGCTACCAAGCAATACAGGTGTCTAACCAAATGATATTTTATCAAAGCTTGTTAGTAGAGGTAAATTTGCTTCTTAGGTTAAAAAAAAAAGGCATGGGTATAAAATAATTTCCATATATGCTGATCCAAACATCAAAGCTCTGTACAAAAATAATTCCTTAGAAGAACAAACACGGATGTGTGCACTCAAACTTCATCACCCTAAGCAGAATACATGTCAGCTGAGGCACCAACATTCAAAAATTACCTTTCCTTGCAGATTCTTTGCCCAGGAGGTACTTGAATGTGCTCTGCATGGAAGAGTGCAGCTCTCACCAATTGCCTTAGCATTACCTGTGGCACATGGGGCAGGCACTTTGCCTTCGTGCTGAGATGCTGACCCATGCAGCCCATCCTGGTCAAGAGCCAGAAACTGAAGGACTTGCTCTCGTTAAATCATGGCTGGCAGCATTAATCTGCCTTAACACATTAAGGCAGCACTGCAGCTGCCTTACTGCAGCATTAATTGTGCAGCACTGCACTGCACAAAGGTTGTGAACATGGCAAAGGAGAGATCTGTGCTACAGGAATGAGAATGCTGGCACAAGATGCAAGACTTTGGTTCAATTCCTTCCCACTTTCCAAGTGCTGACTTGGCCTCACGGCAGACTGAGGGCCACGGAGCACACTTGGGACCCCACCACACCGAAACAGCACTGCTGTACAGCTGATGGTGGAATAACTGAGCCCTATTTTGACACTGAGTCAAGGAGGAGAGAACAGCTATTCTGAGATCAAAGTTCTTTTAAGTTCCTGTTAAAAGTAATAAAATTAACTCACTAAATTGCCTAGACACCATCTAGCAGGAACCGTTTCTATGTTACCCCATGAGTACTGCTGGCTTCTTAGAACAAATAGGGACAACACACAGGAAATATGGGACTGTAAAGAAATACCTACACAAACAGACGAGCACATGCACGGAAACACCTGGCATGAGCACACTTTTCACTGATGTCTACTCTAACTTCGTGGAAACCAGAAGGGTGCATACACCTTAAGCCACAGACAAACTTCATCTTTTTTAGCTTCCCTGTATAAATGCAATGTTAACTTTGTTTTTCTCCAGTACTGTAGATTCTTGGTTCTAGAAAAGCAACATCAATAAGTCAATCTATGTGTTCAGTCCTTTATCATCTTATTTCAATAGCAGGATGATATCATTAAGTTCAAACAAGCATGACCCCCGAGAATCAGCATAGCAACCCACATGGAAGCACA